AGTTGCTGAATATTTAAAGCACGTGGGAGGTAAAGAAAAGGCAATGAAACATGTTCATGACTTGAGATCTCACGTTATTAGGAAGCTCTCATCTTACCGAATTGGTCATAAACCGTGAGTTTGTTATAAAAAGCAACGTATTGGAAGAACAGGCTACGAAAACACGTCAATCAGAACTACACCGTGGATCATTGCCGTTTGAAAGACCACATGGTGTTCACTGGAACATTAAGTGTGACACATTTGGAACCAAGATCAAAGAGTTGGATACAAAATGCACAAGGCAAATCGTTTTGAGTTTCACACACTTAGTATATAATCCTTTTTCAATTCGTGTGTCCATTCGTTCTTCAATATAAACTGAATTTTTTCAGTCAGAGTGTAAGATGAACAAAGAAATACTTGGATGACGAAAGCAAATAATATTGATGAAATGGGTGAGTTTTTGAGAGAGATCGTTGTCTCACACCGGATAATTTCGACTCTGGAGTTAAATTAGAGCTTTATCATTTTTTCGTCTAAAGAAGTACGCATGGAACGGTTCGTACATTCAAGCTGTGAAGTCAATCAGTATATTCACTGTTTATTCTTCTGGAAAATCTTTGGCTGTGTCCGCGGTACGAGTGAATATTATCCTGAAAATGATGAACTGATTTTTTTTCTGTTGACAAAAACTTGTTTAGGACAGAAAGTATAATCGTGCAATACATCAAAACCAAGAAACGGCATTTCCACATATACACGATGGGTCTTCTCCTGTAGGAGTTATATGGAAAGCAAGTGAATCTTGCTGATAATGTTTTTCGAGGGTTAAATTTGTCTGAAATGGTCACCAAGTAAAGATGGAAACATGGGCCAGAATTATTGTCAAAACACGAGTCAGAATATTCAGGGCGTCCAACGTGCCTGGAACTATCGAGAGTTGTTAAGGAAATAAAACCATGTGTTGTCAAAACAGAACCAGCGGATGAACCAATTTGACAGCGTTTCCCACTGATCGCCATGTACATAAACTGTGTAGTTAAACATTCTCTGATTAGATTTGCATCAAACAGATTCATGGCGAAATAATACCTCCTGTTTTGAATTGTACGACATGCTCAGCTTGCCAAATCTAAATACTGTTGGAACTTTCTTATAAACTAGTTGTATGGATATTAATGATTGGCTTATGAATTGTATGACATTTGGATTATATTTGCAACGAATGTGGTCCCAGTGATAATAAAGAAAGTTAGTGGCTGGTTGCAAAGGCCCTATTGCCACGGATACTAATTTATGAACCGCTTTGAGACGACCTACGAACTAAGTTGTGATGAAGCGGTATAAAAGAACCTCGAATTATTATTTATTATTATTATTATGCGGGATGGTGTTTCTAGATTGTCCATGTCATGTTTCCATACGCCGGCTAGGGAATGAGTAGTGGGCCAACTTTAGTGACGTAGTAGGAAATTGCAATTGTATGCGATGGACTATTTATCATTGAAAATGCGGTATAGTGTGAGCAGGAAAAATGAAGGGCCTTGCGGTGAATTGACTGTGTCGATTTTGTTGTTACGGTTCAGCACCCCACTTCCTGTTAATGAACCTAAGGGTACACACTGTAGGCATATTCATGTGACGAAAATAATTTAAATGTAAATCAGGTATGACGAATGCTAAACAGAAAAGTGGCAGCTGACAGCGTATTCGTCATTACCTGAAATGGAAAACTGTATACAATTTGTATATTATGGTTGTTGATATCTACGTGAAATCGATGTGTGTTCTTTAGCGTTACATTAATGTGCAGTATTGTTTACATCCCAGGTCTATTACACATGCTATGAACCATACAATACGGTGTGCTCACCATGTGTGGACGATAAAAACTGGCGATGATACATTTTGTTTCACTCATTCCGTACCGCAACTCCGGTCTGGATTTCTTATCAAATGTCCTTACTAGACTCGCCCCTGCGCATATAACAAAATGACGAATTATTAATGTATGTTTTAGACGAGATGTAACAACTGCAAGAAGTAAATAGGTAACCGTGAACAAATGTTGTTACTGTTTCATGTTATTGTTTAAAGACATACATATATCCATATTTAGAGCATTTTGTCGACTAAATGGTAGCCGATTATCACTGAGAAGTCGACATTTGTCCGACAACGAACGATACGATTCCTTGTATTTAAAACAGCGTTGTAGTGCAGGTTCCCAATTGGGATTGATTTTGGTTACGAAAACGATACGTTTTTT